GGGTTGTCATTTATCGCGATTTTTTTCTAATCTGGGTTTTAGTCGTATATCGCGGCTTTTGTCGTTTACGAGTTGTCTGTTATTTGTGAAGCTCCATACAAATCCAATGTCGAGAGAGAGAGGCGCTATTGATAAGTTCAGAGACATAATCCTTACAAAGACTTCAGAGACATGACCCCATCAGAGACAAAACCCTGACAAAAATTTCACAGACTTAACCTTTACAAAGACTTCAGAGACATAACACTTACAAAGACTTCACAGACATCATCCCCTTCAAAGATCATAGTTGAGAAAAATAGAAACTTGAGTTTTGATTGATATAAGTGTAGAGCAAGTCAATAATATACTGTTAATAGATTTGTTCTGCGTTCCTAACCGTCAAAGCCTTGTTAGTTTGCTTAGTTGTATCCGTTTTTCAAAGAAGGAGGACATAACTATTATAATGATATGCGAACCGACATACAGTACTTCTCCTCAGTATAACTTATACTGTCGGCACAGCAAGAAAGTAAATTATAAAACTTGTTTAGATCCCTTCTGTGTAAAATGGGAGTCTGGAGTTTGATAAGAAAGTGATTATAATAATAGTTATATTCAGATATTGATATAGCATACTTGTGTATTGAAATATCTCCAAGAATAATTTTACTTATATGATACTTCTTCCTGGAATGTATGAACAATGCAATTGAAAAAGATAACCTTCAAACAAAACCAGATATCGTTGAGAATGATGGTTTCTTTAGTGGAATCTTTTAAATACGAAACGAAGTCGTCACAACTATTTTCAGCAGGTTTGTTTTCCTTTCCAAAGGGAATTTGGTCAACATCAAATTCTGAATGTCTTCCTTGCCCAAGTGTCAAATTCTAAATGTCTGTCTTACTAAAGCGTCAAACTCTAAATGTCTTCCTTGTCAAAATGTCAAATTCTAAATGTCTGTTACCTACACAAAACAGATTGGGGATGCCACGCTCAGACGAATTCAAAGTCTAATAGATTTCCATCAGCTAAAGTACAACCCGCATATTCTTAAGAAATACACTCACAGCTAAAGTAACACACACGCAGCTAAAGTGACACAAACAGCTGAAGAAAAACGCGAAAGGAACTGGAAACCTCATGGTCTCAAAAATATTTGAATGAACTACACAATTCTACGACTGTACACATTGCTCATTACTATTTTGTGGGAGGAAATGTTTTCAAGGTTTTAATTATGTCAGCACAATCTGTGTAAAGGATAGCATGTACATGTAAAGAAGAAGAAGAAGAAGAAGAAGAAGAAGAAGAAGAAGAAGAAGAAGAAGAA